AATCAACATTGAGCAAACACTATAGACATGCGGGAGCATGTTAAGCCTAGTTCCATGGAGGGGACTGCACCGTGCGTATATTTAGACGAACCAATTAGAGCCACTTTTGACTCCTCATCATTCAAAAACTACTGTGCATTAACACTTCAAATTTGGCTCATGTATTGAGACTTGCAAGATATACATCAGCTTCAAATTTCATAAATATACCTCAAACGGTTATTTAGGTATTGACGTTCAAAAATCGATATTTAGAGCACTACTATCTATCTATCACATGTGAAATGTTAAAATTTACTGGTTTTTTATTTGTTCCTTTGTATTTACATAACTACCTTTCTGGATGCCAAATTTGAACCTTCGAGGTCATCTGGAAGTGGTTAGAATTTGGTCTATAGGTCAGACATGTAGATTTTTGGACGTCAATATCTAAAGAACCGTTTGAGGCATATTTATGAAATTTGAAACTGATGTATATCTTGCAAGTCTCAACACATGAGCCAAATTTGAAGTGTTAATGCACAGTAGTTTTTGAGTGATGAGGAGTCAAAAGTGGCTCAAAGTGATTCGTCTAAATATACGCACGGTGTAGTCCCCTCGCTGGAACTAGGCTTAACATGCTCCCGCATGTCTAGAATGATTGCTCAATGTTGATTTAGTCGATTTTCTCCTGATGGGAACATGTAAGACAAAAATAAAATTTCCAATATTACAGACCTTCTAGAGCAGATGCCGCGAAAACTATACAATTTATAGAAAAACTTGTCTATCTCACCTGTAGCAAATTGAATATGCTTTTTTTGGTTCAAAGTAGTCATGTCACTAGGACGCATAGTTTCCGAGGATTAAGCGAAAAACCGAAAAGTGGCACCTTTAAACCCCCCTCTCCCCGCCGGCTCAAGGGCTAAGGGCGGGGACTTTTGCTATGTTCACCTCCTAACTAGTCTAAATAAAGTCCTGAAGTCAGAAATTGTGTTCTACAGTTTTCCATCTATAATGCTTTATTGACTGGACTATACTTAATTCAGTCAGAGGGAAAAGTTTCATGTAAAATTTGGCAATGGGATAGAATGTTTTCAATCAGTAAGTAAACGTAGGATAAGATCGGTCTCGTAGTTGACAGTTGTCAAAAACCACACAAATCACGCAAAGAAACATGTTCCTTAGATAACTTTAGTCTCATAGATTTTATAGCTAATTAAAGACAACGTTTATCGATAGTCTATAAATAACCGAGCTATTCTCGGTGCGATACGACAGGGAATGCTGCTTAATTAAGTGCAGTGGGGACGCTAATGAATCTAATGCACTATCCGATAAGTGCCGGGAACGAGGCTGCGAAGTGGGCCAAGGTCAGCGAAGAGGCGATAGCGACCCTGCATTCGAATAGTCAAGTAGACAAGATGGTAGCCCTCCATCAATAAATTATTGCCGAAGCTCGTCTCTTAAGGCAACATTCAAGTAGATATGTTAGAGTACGTTCGCTACTTTATTTAACAGCGGTACACTTATAGGTTATTCAAAGAGAACTGGGAAATTAAATCAATATCAGAACTCCTATATTCGTAAACGAAATCCTGAAAGATATACTTTTCTTCCCTTATCGGTAAAACATTTACTTAAACGGAATTTCTTTTACTTTTGTACGAGTGGGTATAATAAAAGATAATATAACTTAGTTGTGACAACACACAATAAATGCAACTTGATTTGAATTTATGCAAGTTGGTACGCATATAAAATTGCATTAAGTATTTATCGAGTTCTTATCAAACTCTCTCAAGATTTTCTCGAATCATTGCTAATCAAGCTACCTTTCAAACAAAAAAGTCATTTTAATTCGGCTCATCCGATTGGGGACTACGATGACTCAGATACACGCATAAAAAGATACAGAGACAAATACCTGAATACAAAGCATCTCGGATACACGCGTACACGTTATGTCAAATATCAAGTTCTGTGAGAAATATCACAAACTCTATCCATTCCGACAGCGAACTCTACAAAGTGCCAGTATTGACGATGAATACGAAGCCTAAAAGGCGAGAATTTATACTTACGGGCGATATAACAATCACATTATGATCATGAATTTTCTAAATTCATTTGCTTTATTGTTTTGTAAAAATTATAACTTAACCAAGTGCTTGAAATAAATGCTTGTTATCTATTGCAACGGTTTTGACATACTTAAATATCATTTATCAATTTAGCATTGTGACTGACAAAGTTATCCTTTCATAAATAGTTCCAAAATATAAAAAAGAAGTAGATAGAAGTACTGAGAGAGAAGTGACCAATTAGACAGACAAGTACTTAACTTTATTAAAAAAATATGAATCAACACTAGTTACTTTATAATTAACCATTTTGATAAATCATAGAAACCATTACCCATTAATTGTTGTAACTTACATTTTTCCTTATTGATAAATAAGACCTACGAAAGCTGCACCTTGTTTCTGTCATTAATCAAAACCAATAAGCGAGTCTCGAGTAAAAAATAAACTGTCACTGTAATTGATGGCACCATTTGCAAAGCCACAATTAAACTACGAATAAGAGCAGGTGCGCAAAAACTCGAGCTCCGTGATGCGAGACGACGTTCCAAGAACCCGTTGTTGGTTATCTTTAGACGACAATGTGCATGCGCATAATCGGATGACGTCACTCGTCGCAGCCCGCTAAGAGCCTAGCAATAAGGAAACCGACATGAAATTCCCTTCTTTTGCGTGAATCAACCTGCTATTTTTAGCTCTGAAAAGTCAATGTCGCGACTTGTGTGTTTAGGTCTAACTAGACCTTGGTACGATTGTTACTTGTTTAAATAATGGGATTTCGTGCTGATTAAAGTAGTAAATTGTAACTCTTATTAGGTACTAGCTTTCCGCCCGCGGCTTCGCCCGCGTGGAATTTTGTCTGTCGCAGAAAAACTATATCGCGCGCGTCCCTGTTTCAAAAACCGGGATAAAAACTATCCTATGTTCTTTCCCGGGACTCAAACTATCTCTATGCCAAATTTCATCAAAATCGGTTGCGAGGTTTAAGCGGGAAAGCGTAACAGACAGACAGACAGACAGAGTTACTTTCGCATTTATAATATTAGTTGGGATTGGTTCGGCGGTTTATGGCAAAAGATTGTTAGCATTTATTGGTTCTTCCTGTAGCTTTACTAACTTACTTAAATCATATAAGAATTTTTAATAACTTAACAGAACTTTTAATGACTGAGGAGTGATTAATAACGTCCATAAATAATTTCAACTGCAAAATATTTGCTTCAACTCTAACTGCGGATAGATATAGTGGAGGGACCATACATAAATACTTGCTTCAGACCTGTTTAACTTTCCGTGGGACGGGAGAGAGGTTTACGTGTACCTGACTCATACATTCCGATCGATGACGTCACTTGCTCATGGGGTTGGAATTGACCAGTGGAAGGAATCGGAATAAATAAAAGAATGACGCAAGTTTGCAAGTTCATTCGTTTCATTCTCAGAATACGGAACAAACCAGAAACCGTCAACGGGCGTAAATGTGTATTCATATAAAGTACTCCAAATCGCACTAGTTTGACTTTAGAGCAATCAGTCAATGGCCGGCGCGCGCATTGTTTACATATCCGTCAGATTGACACTTTATAATTAAATTATGCCGTCTTGTGCCGTTCCAACATGTAAGAATGCTACTGGAATTACGAAGAAAGTGCATGGGATCATGTTTTATCCGTAAGTAGCACATTTCCAATTCATTTTAATTAAATAATAATTTTCAAAAAAAATCACGGTCGTATTTTGTAAGTGTTGCCACAGGTCAACGGAATATTTTACCCTACTTTTTTATATTGAATTACATTTGTCTACTTATAAAAAATTCACGCGTTAATTTTGTTAGCGTTACCACAGAATAATGGAATATTTTCCCCATCCTTTTTGTTTTAATTAGTTTTTAGTGTAATTTCATCCATGACATGACAACCTGATTAATTAAATTATAAGTGCCACTTGTGGTCTAAACTGAATAAATATTTTTGATTTTGATTTGATTTCAATATTTTACATAATAAAGAACCTTAAGTTTCTTTTTTGTTTTACTTGGCATTCTAAAATGTATATTCGACTTTTGTAATTGACTTTTAAATAACATATTATACCTACATATAGTATATTACACTATTTAATAGAAATAAATAATCATCTACACTTAGTTACTTCGGAGTAAAAATTAAATTCATAGGTAGGTAGGTACTATCTATGCCTATGGCCAGTCATGTCGTCTCGTTCTATCGCAAAGAATCACCATTTGATAAGAGCGAGAGCAAAAACGGAAATGGATAGTTAACACTGGCCGTGTGTACTTATTTCACTTACTTATTTTTTACTTGTTTAACATCTCTTTAAAAAATTACATAATTTTACCCCAAAAATGGGGGTGTCACACGGCGCTAGTAACACTAAAGGGGGTAGAGGGGCGCGGGAGGGGAAGTATTTTGGACACAAGTTGCCGCGTAGAAATGTTATCGAACACTCCTTCTGGTTTGTTCTGTATTCTGAGGTTTCATTCATCTTTTTTACAAGACATGACGTCATCGACTAAGTATTTCATAGATTACCTTTTGTAGTTAACTTAAACTAAAATATAAGTGTGTAAATATCAATATTTGGCTACGACTGCAGACTGTATTTATGATTAGAAAAAACTTTCGTAGCACGTATGTTATTTTTGTGCTTATTTGACGTCATTCATAATTTATCGTCAGGTGACGTCATAAGTGATAGTGGCAAATATTTTATATTTTACGTATTTTCTATAAAAATAAGCTTCATGTGAGAATGTATCATCTTTTTCTTCATCCAACATGTATTCAGCTCTTGTCACTCAAATACTTATACTTATTGATGACACTTTTATTTTGTCTTTCATACAATTAATTGAAACATATTGAGTTTATGAGATCCACTCAATTCATAATTAAACAAAAACAAACACAGGAGTTTAAGTACAAAAATATTTATTGGAAACAGTACAGAACCAAAATATTGGTATATCTGTTGAACATAGTTTTCAAGATTTTGCTTTCATTGTGTTACACGCAAAAAGCAGCACAGCTTAAGCTGGTCTTCGACAGCCTCCCTCCAAAGTTGATTTAGTTAAGAATTTCGGGGAGCACGACGGCTTCGGGGATGACCACGGGAGCCACGGGCTCAGGGATCACGATGGCTTCAGGGATCACCTCGGGGGCAATGGGCTCGGGGATCACGACCGCTTCGGGGATGACCACGGGAGCCACGGGCTCAGGGATCGCGATAGCTTCAGGGATCACCACAGGGGCGATGGGCTCGGGGATCACGACGGCTTCGGGGATGACCACGGGAGCCACGGGCTCAGGGATCGCGATAGCTTCAGGGATCACCACAGGGGCGATGGGCTCGGGGATCACGATGGCTTCGGGGATCACCACGGGATTGACGGGCTCAGGCATCACGATGGGTTCAGGGATGACGACGGGCTGTTCAGGGATGACCACGGGAAGCACGGGAGTGGGCAGAACAATGGGGTCAGGCAGAACAGATTCGGGCTCCGCAGTTTCAGGCACCACGATGGGCAGCACAGGAGTGGGCAATATAATGGGATCGGGAATAACGGGTGCCTCAGGGTCGACGGGGATCACGGGCGTGGGGAAGATGACCTCAGGAACGAGTATGGGAGCGGGCACGGGTTTGTCGACGACGACGGCGTCGCTGGAGCCTCCATCAACGTTGACGATGATCTGCACCAGCGGCAGGGGGTTGGCGGCGGCCACGGCCACGAGGGCGAAGAAAGCAACGAAGGTCTTCATGTTTTTAGCTGAAATAATGAAAATGTGTTAATTACAGAAACGGTTTGAAAAGAATTTGTTTAAAAAGTTAACTTGTCTACGAATAACATTGGTATATGTTACACTATCACGTCAAAAATTAGATCTCACGTTGAAGCTTAAGAGCGTTGTAGCAAAAAGTTGGCGTTCGAATTTTAGGTTTTTATTGCTTGACGTCGCGTAGTGAGTGCGCAAACTGCATTTATCTGTACAATTTCAACGCTGCGTCGACTAAACGATCTTAATCCGTAGTTGTATCGTACCTAAGACAGTACATCATACATAATAATAAAGAAATAATGTATAATTTACCTATTTGATTTTTTCTCAGATCAGACTTTTAGCAAAATCAAGTTACGTAATTAATGTATTTTTTACACAAGTAAATCCCGCGACAAGTTTTTAATCTTTAAATTGAGTAAAGTAATAAGTTGATGGGTTTGAAAGAATTTATTTTATTTTATTCTTTTTACAGCATCAAAAGCTTGTTTGTGAAAAATATTTACTATTGACTTTTTAGTTTTTATGATGCGGGATGGAAAAATTAAAATTTATTCTGATTTTGTGACGTTTCCGCACATAAATATGGATAGGTTAAATAAATAGAATGAAATGTATGAAAACGAGCGTGCCATTTTTTAAACGTTATCTATAATATCTGTGTCCATCAAAGAGCTCGTAACTAAACATCGTAAGCGCCATTCAAATTATTATCTAAAAGTTAATAATAAATATTTAGTTTTTGTAAATCTAAACAAGTCAGGAAATCAAAGAGGTAAATACTGATATCATTGTGATTTTATAGAATTTATTATTATAAACCACGGTCGTATAATGCTAAAAAATCAGAGGTAACTTTAAGATTTTTATCCATAGAGCAAAATTTATCTAATCGTGTTTTTAAACAGTTATCCCATTAGGTACACATGCGTTCTGTAATACAAACCCATCAAAAACAATACTTGTCAAAAAACCAAGTCTCACTACTCAGTTGTTCTACGGTAAAAAGTTGTGAGATCCATGTAATACCAAGTCCAGTCCAGGAAATCATTAACGTTTTACATAAATATATTGACTTGGCCATCGCATGAAAACACGTGTAAATTAAATTATTTAGTGCGAAATGAAACGAAATTTTGCATGCCTGTGTAGACATGCAAAATTTCAGCTCAATGGGAAAACGGGAAGTAAGTAAATTTTAAGTTGCAAGATTTTACAACTCCAGATGTCAAAGAAAATAAAAGCTTGTAGATAGCTTTACAAAGAAAAGAAAGATTTATGAAGAAAATAAAAAGTACTGTCTACGATACATTTGTTAGGCCGTGTTGCACCGTCTTACTTTAACATTGACATCAAAATTTTGGATGTCAAAAATCTGTCTAACATAAAACACCGGTTATTGTCAGTTAGGGTCAAAGTTAGGTGGTGCATCTCAGCCTTAGTGTATTTTAATTAAATTTAATACAAATAAGGATGACGAAAATAATCGATAAGTGATCTCACTCGAATATTTCTTATAGTAGGTATACAAGATGTCGAACAAATGGTTACTTACTGAAAAAGTGCTTCATGAGACCTAGCAAACGGCATCAATAATATGTTTAAGAACGAACTGAATCTATTCAAAAAACCTATATTTCCAGCTTTCATACATTTAATACAGTTACAAACAAACACGAAATCAATGGTTTCTGAGAATTCTGAGTGCCTTAATGCCGTCCCCTTTATCTGTTTATTTAGTATTTATTAATTAGTATCTCTTGATGATATTGTAGCAAGTTAAACCTAAAATCATGTTTTCCGTAAATAATTTAAATAAGAATGCAATTTACGAGTTTGTTGTTTGATTATTATATATTACTCAATTAAAAATTTAAATTTAAAAAATTAACACTTCTAATATGGTAGGTATGGCTGGCGGCATACATTTAGTATGAAATTCGGAAACATTGAATTTTCGCATAGATCCAGTTTATTCTTTGACCTATTTATTGTTATTGTTTTAAAGAGCTCATGAAGCACTTACAGGAACAGTAAACAGTTTCTCGATATCTTGTATAATTAAAAATCAAGTGAAATCACTTATCGTTTCCACCCTGTACCTATACTTTTAAAAATAAACTCATTTTATACGTTCATTTGTATAAGTATCTACAATACAAATACCTAACCAACTTAGTTGACGTTTTATAAAACTATTTGTCTAAGTGTCATCGAGCGACCGCTGGTGGATTTGCCATTTACCTGACCTACCCCTTTATTACTAAACGTTTAATATCAGATGAATAGTTACGCACCAATTTCTTTCATTCAGTCGTCAGTAATTGAACTTTCGGAAAAACATGACGAAGCGTTGTGTGACCATACAGACGCTATTCAACTTTTATTAGTAAGGAAGAGTATATTTTATGTTGGTAGAAACACAATAGCATAGACTAATGTTTTGACACCCTGTTAAAATTTTTATTAGTCATTTATTTTTTCCTGACCAAACAGATACCATAATAATATCTTTTATCTATTCTACCCATATTCTGTAAGTAAAATAATAAAAAGTTTGAAAAGAAAGAAATTACAAGTCCGATTTACCTAAACAAATAAATTAAAAATACTTGCGGATCAAAAGTACTCAATCATACTACAATTTACGAAAAAATCACGCGTGACGCATATACGTCAGTGGGCAGTCAACTGACATAGACCCGGCGTCTACGAGTGCCAAAGCACGACTGATTTATGCCATTTGATGCACCCGATTTTATAGTATTTTCAAATTAATTTTTCATTTGAAGATTGAAGATAGATATTTTTTCTTTTTCACACAATAATAGTACTATGTTTCTTCTTAAGTATAAAGTAGTTTATGTTGCCAAATGACTTTTAGATTATGAGATGTGACCTGTTTTCTTGCAGTAATTTTCTCGAATTTTGACTATCTTAGACATGATAAAAATGCATTTTAATGAATTAAACATCAAAATTTTCTCAATACACTTTCTTCTTCAGGGTATGCTTATTCTAATGAATACATTCTATCTTCTTACTTAGAAATAAATTTGTTGTAATATTAGTTCAAAGTTGTGCCTTCGCGAGTTACCTGGAAATCGGGCTTTCGAAATTCGCTGTTTTCGTAGGCAAAAATCCAATTTGAACAAGATGTTGTCAATAGACATTCCGTAAAAACGTATGATAATTACGATGATATAAGTCAAAAGAAGCTATAACAATAAATTATATGACTAAAATCATTTCGAAATCTGCCAAATTCTCAATTTCTGCATGAAAAATGTGACAACGCTCTTAATCAAAATAGGAACTTGGATATTATTTTCAAAACACCTAAATCACAAAACAAAACTTCCTACTTGTACTACTTGTAAATAGATTAATTTTGAAATAAATGGTTAGGTACTTACTTGTTTCCAATTGATTCCAATGAAAACTATGAGTTATGATACATTTACAGGCTATTTATACATTGGCTTTCATGATAGCTGTTAACTTTTTATTATAGTAGTAATGATACCAAATTTTACCATCGTCAACAAAAAATGGCGCAGATAAAATAAATGATGACTAATTTTCATAAATATGTACCTGACTATTGGATAACTTCTTCAACCCTTTTCTAAAGCACGAGGTATGCATTATCACGGGACTATTCCCACCTCTCGTTCCCACCACTGCAACTCCTGTGTAGCCAGGATCTACAGCTTGACCGCCACAAAAACCCAACCAATGAAAGTCAAGTTTGTCCCGGGGGAAAGTTAAACTGTCATTGGACCCGCAACGAAATTAATCAGAAGAACATAGGATGAGTTCGAAATTAAGGTTCGACTTCCCTCCATTGCAAAGCGGATGACAGGTGACAAACAAAGGTTTAAAATCTTTAAGAAAAGATTATGCACTCTTATGAGCAAATAGGAACTACCTGCCAATAATATTTTTCACAAAATCGCTTAAAAGCACGGAAATGAGAGAAATGAGAGGTATGCATTATCAAAAAAATCTCAAAATAAAACTCAAACTCAAGTATTGCTCAGCTTATCAATATTTGGACCAAAGTATCACAGACTCCTATATTCTTACGAGTGTATCCTATTAATATTGTGTATGTGAAAGTGGATATTTGTACAACTTCACAGGCTTCTTCAGGCGTTAGAACGTCTCGTAGCTAGGTGGAGTGAGAACTTACTGGTTGCTGGCAAGTAAGTATTGGGGTAGGCCTATCCCAACTAATATTATAAATGCGAAAGTAACTCTGTCTGTCTGTCTGTCTGTCTGTCTGTCTGTCTGTCTGTCTGTTACGCTTTCCCGCTTAAACCTCGCAACCGATTTTGATGAAATTTGGCATAAAGATAGTTTGAGTCCCGGGAAAGAACATAGGATAGTTTTTATCCCGGTTTTTGAAACAGGGACGCGCGCGATAAAGTTTTTCTGTGACAGACAAAATTCCACGCGGGCGAAGCCGCGAGCGGAAAGCTAGTTAATAATAATATGACCAGCGTAGTAGACTGCCATGAGATAATAATAAAGAGTCTTTACACGTCATTTCATAATAAAGGCATGACACAAAAAATGCTATAAGACCATGCCAAGATCTAATAAATATAGGTAGGTACACATATTTTAAATATACAGAACCACTTGTGGTTAATCGACTCTACCATATAGCTTATATTCCTTTATCTTTTGCAAGTATTAACGTTACAAGTAGTGTAGTAGATAAAATAATAGAATGTTTAATCAGTTTGATTATTTTTAGTATTGCAATTTATGCAAGACGTGAAAAATAAATTTGCATTTTGAATGTTGTAGTAGGTAATTGTTCAACTTCGTTTCAAAGTTTTGGCCATAAGTTTCTAAATATACTCGTAGAATTAAACTTCACGCCCTTCCGCTATCCACACATCAGCTCAAAATATCAGACATCCCCCCCACTGTAGACGTCGCCTTGCATGCGTCTCCTCAAAAACCTCAAAAAACAATGGTAGGGTCCCAAATTTTATTTAACAAGCCCTCATCCTAATAATAAGACGGTTACACAAATAAAATCGCGCGCCCAACCGGTATTATTGAAAACGACCGTTATTAACTTGATAAAGCAAGCACCCTTGATAAAGACCCAAAATTTCGACTCACCCCGGTCCAACCGGAATACTTGTCCATCTGTAGTAGTACCAAGGACAAAATATTATAATGCTGCAGCAACGGGAAATGTAGTTGTTCCTACCTAATCGAGACATTATCTCTTTATAAGACTCGAAGTGGTGATCGCGATTAAAATGTATAAAATTGTGATTTCAAACATAGACCAGTTACGGATACTTGATATTAAAAATTGATTTAATAAATATTTATCATTCTTTACTTAAAAATAATTCATTTATTTAATTGTAAAAAGAAAGTTACTCAAGTAAATATAAATGCTCTCCTACCTTCTTTAATAAGGATTCAATGAAAACTATACTTTTTCCAAATTTTTCAATCCTTATAAGGATTGAAAAAATTATCTCGATATATCGAGATCTAGATCTACATTTGCTATCATCATTTACGAGTTGACTTAAAGAGATTACTTTATTGAACCACAACGATGGTCATTTATATTCTTACATAATGTTTTATCTTGATAATATAATATTGTTCTTTAGTGTAGATATATTCATTCAGTAGACGAGTAGATTGTTGCCTTCCAGGAATGAGTTGAGCTGATCAATGTGATTTTGAAAATAGATCCATGAATTAATAGGCCTTTCCTGAAAGTCCCTTAAAAATGGTTCTCTCAGTCAAATCTAGGTTTATTGGTGCCAATTTCAAGTAGAAAATTGATATAACTCGAAAAATAAGACACAGTCATGCGTTTAAGTTAAATTGTTTTTTCATAGATTCCATGTAGGTAAACAATAATAAATACTCTTTATTGCACACCAAAGAACAGAACAGAAAGAAAAGGAACACACAAGGTACAACTAGGCGGTCTTATCCCTATGAAGCGATCTCTTCCAGACAACTATGGTGAGGACAGTTACTATCTGATTAATATCGTTTAATCAGATAGTATCGTTTATCGGGCTCAATGACAGTTTACCTTTCCCCCGGGACAAACATAGCCTTCACAGGTTGGGTTATTATTGACGGCCAAGCTAAAGACATAGATCCTGACTACACAGTAGTCCCAGCGGCGCCAACGAGAAGTGAGAATAAATAGTCGCATATTGCTCCCGCAGCCGCACCCGTACCTAGCATTTTTTAGTCGGCCGACACTTTCTGAAAAAGCTCAAAAATATGATATCCTTTATAAAACAATTACATAAAAAAGTTTAAGAAAGTTTTTTCAATTATATCAATACTTCTTGTGTTGTGATACCTGCTACGTCTAAGATGCGTTCCATTGCATCTAAGACAAATGAACAACTAGACTTGTTTTTACATAAAAAAAATAGAAAACTAGCTGTTCCTACAGACTTTGTCCTGTATTAAGAAAAAAATAATTACATACAGCCGAACATAGAACATCCTCCTTTTTTGTAGTCGGTTAAAAAGTTAATATTGCCGTTATGTTTCCTTAATTTCTTTAATTTTCCACGCACATTTCTTAATTGTTATTACTTAAGAACCTTTTTCTGAACAAACACAAGAAAAAAAGTATGAGAGAAATCGGTCTAACCGTTCTCAAGTTAAAGGCGTGAACGTGAAATAGATAAATTAATGATTAAAATAAATAAATCAAAAACTAAAATTTAAAAAGGTCCCGGGTACGATTCCCGGCCGGGCAGAAATTGAAATGATTAATTTTAATTTCTGTGACGGGTCTGGGTGTTACTATGCATAATAATATGTATTTAAAAAATATAAGTTCAAGTAGGTATGTTTGTTTATATCCCTTGTCTAGTATCTACTCATAGTATGTACAAGCTTTGCTTAGTTTGGGAGTAGAGGCGCAGTGTAAAAATGTCCAACAATAAATATTATTTATTTATTTAATACTATTAAATAAAATAAATCAAAAACTGTAGAGTGTCGCCGAAAGGGTGTTCCCTTGCTGTGCTAGAATTTAATTAACTTCTCTTCACCAGCTGTTAATTCGCGCTAACCAACCACTGCTTGCTGATGAGCTACCTTAGTTTACTCTTACGTTAATTAATAAATTAAAATATATTTTAGGTATTTGTTAACCAGCTGACCCGGCAAACTTCTTACCGCCGTCAGTAAAAAGTTGTCTAATTTATAATAACTTAACAAATCGCAAGTGTCCTGTTTAAAACTCTTAAATATTTGTATAAAAACTAGCATTCCGCCCGCGGCTTCGCCCGCGTGGAATGTTGTTTGTCACAGAAAAATTTTATCGCGCGCGTCCCTATTTCAAAAACCGGGATAAAAAAATCTTTTACCGGGACTCAAACTATCTCTATGCCAAATTTCATCAAAATCCGTTCAGTAAACCAGTGCGACGTGAAAGCCAGACAGACAGACAGAGTTACTTTCGCATTTATAATATTAGTATATAAGTATAGATAGCAGGCTCGGCGAACTTCGGAAATAATGCGTGACATGAAGCACATGAAGTGTCAATCGCGGAAAATGGCGGAGTAAATACCTACTTAATTAGATTTACATTACATTTTTCTGTTCGTTTTTCTGACTAACCATTTGAAAATATTTTATAGCAGGGTTTCCCAAGCTATGAGTTGCGACGCGACCCAGTGGTGGGTCGCGAGCGAAAATTGAATGGACCCTGCCTGTAGAACAACACACTACCCTACCGATCCGAGTCCTTTATTTAGGTATATTGTTAACGGTTCAATTTCAAAAATGTAAGATTAGTTAGCAGTGGCTATTTATCTAATATTATAATAGCGATTGGTTGCAAACACAACAGTTATTTAGAAGATAGTAAATGCTTTATGCATGTATTTAGAATAATTTAATTATAATTAATAAAAACATAATTCAATTTGTAAACGTCATTTATTAAGGTATTTTACAGTACATCCAAATCATGAGTGTTCACTCCTGAAAGGAGTGCCTTAATACATGCAATATTTCAGCTGGCTGTTGTTGGCGCCAAATCTAGTTCCAGTTGTGAAGTTAGCCCAGTTGCTCGGGGAGGACGATGGCCTCGGGGACCACTACGGGCACGACGGGCATCACGGGGACGGATTCGGGGACCACCACCTCAGGGGCAATGGTCTCGGGAAGGACGATAGCTTCAGGGATGACGACGGGGAGCACAGGGGCGGGGAGGACGATCGATTCAGGGATGACCTCGGGGGCAACGGGCTCAGGGAGGACGATTCCTTCAGGGATGACCTCAGGGATAACGGGTTGAGGGATGACGATGGGAGTAGGGAACACGATGGGCTGCTCGGGCTCGGGAACAACGATGGGAGTGGGGAAGACGATGGGCTGTTCAGGCTCAGGGATAACGATGGGGGTGGGGAAGACGATGGGCTGCTCGGGCTCGGGGATGACGATGGGGGTAGGGAAGACTATTGGCTGTTCAGGCTCAGGGATAACGATGGGAGTGGGGAAGACGGGTCCTACAATCTCGGGAACGGTCACAGGAGCGGGCACGGGCTTGTCGACGACGACGGCGTCGCTGGAGCCTCCATCAACGTTGACGATGATCTGCACCAGCGGCAGGGGGTTGGCGGCGGCCACGGCCACGAGGGCGAAGAAAGCAACGAAGGTTTTCATTGTGTTTTTTTTTTGCTGAAATGAAATAAATTGAATTAGAATATTTTTTGTTACTATCAAATATTTGTTATTATCAAATACCAAATTATATCCATCATCAAAAAGCAAATAATATTTAATCGTGGACCACTTAAGTAATATCATTAACTCACCTTGTTTTACAAGAATTCAATGAAAACTATGCTCTTAAACGAAATTTTTTGTGTTTATATAGGGAATCTACATTGGCTATCATTTACGAGTTTTATTATGACGATTATCTATATTACACTAAGCTTATACACATACATGATTTATTGTTCTTTTATAGTTATGAACGACAAAATATTATGTAAAATGTTAGTTTGGTTAAAGTTACAAGATACAGTAATGTATGACTAAGAGTAGGCGCACACCGTTGATTTTTAGTTGGCCGATAGTTGTGCCCGATTTTAAATTGTATGAAGAATCGGCCAAATCGAATCGGCGTAGTGTGCGCACTCCCATACATGCCCATACTGATCAACTGCCTAAACTAACTAACTGACTAAACTATCGGCTGACGAAAAATCAACGGTGTGCGCCTACTCTAAAACTTTATTTAAAAACTGTGAATTGACAACAACAAAACTGTTTTGAAATAAACCTAGATCTTTAGATATCCTATTGATTAACTCACGGTGGATTTAATTTAGTTGTTTATGCGATCTCAAGAGATCGAAAGCCTGCGTGGTTTTTAAGCCTTCTTGTAATAAAAGTTCTGTATTATGCTTCAAGCCGCGTCGTGTCCAAAGACTTCATGCAACATAGTCCGCTTAGGGTAAAATAAGTATGGGGAGAGTTCACTTTGTGATACCAGCTCCAAATTTCATATGTTGTTAAGCATATTATTTTGGCTTAAAAACCACCGGGAGCCCATCTGTAAGTAAAGTGTCTGGATCCGGAGTAACGATTTATTCAATTTGTCTCTCATGATTTTTTTAACGATTTTGACGTCCAAAAATCGTCATTTGTAACACTAAAATCTATCTATCACTTGTAAAACGTTAAAATTTACTGGTTTTTGATTTATTCCTTTATATTCACACAATTGCCTATCTGGATACCAAATATTTGAACTTTCTAGGTCATCTGAAAGTGGTAAGAATTTGGTATATAGGTGAGCCATGTAGATTTTTTGGACGTCAATAAGTACCTACCTAAATAACTGTTTGAGGTATATTTAGAATGAAATTGAAGCTAATGTTGATATTGCAAATCTGAAGACATAAGCCAAATTTGCTCGAAAAACTTGTTAATGTTAAATACATAGTTTTTGAGTGATGAGGGGTCAAAAATAGCTCCAAGTAGTTCGTATAAATATAGGTAGGTACACACGGTGCAGTCGCCTAGCTGGAACTTGGCTTAAAATGCTCCCACATATCTAGAATGATCGTTCAGTGTTGATTTAGTCGATTTCCATGTGAGACAAACAATGTATTTTTAAAAACTTCAGGCTTTTTAGAGTAGATGTTTCAAAAACTATAAAATATAGGTAATAGAAAACTTGACTGAGTCACCTGTATCAAATTTAATCAGCTTTTTTTGGTTTGTAGTGGTCATGTCTCTAGCTCGCATAGTTTGCGAGAATACAGCGAAAAACCTAAAAATGGGACCTTCAAACCCCCATCTCCCCGCGCGCCGGCTCAAGGGCTAAGTGCGAGGACTTTTGATATGTTCACCTCCTAACTAGTTTGGAGACTAGACTCTCTAACTCATTCCTTCTCCAATCTATTCGCCTTTGGAACGCTCTTCCCGAGAACATTAGGCAGGCTCCCAGCAAGTTTGTGTTAAAATACTCTGTGCGCAAGTCGTCTTGATCTCTCTCAAACCTTCTCGTTATCCACCTTATATTATGTATATTATGTATGTATTTACTAGCTTTCCGCCCGCGGCTTCGCCCGCGTGGAATTTTGTCTGTCACAGAAAAACTTTATCGCGCGCGTCCCTGTTTCAAAAACCGGGATAAAAACTATCCTATGTTCTTTCCCGGGACTCAAACTATCTCTATGCCAAATTTCATCAAAATCGGTTGCGAGGTTTAAGCGGGAAAGCGTAACAGACAGACAGACAGACAGACAGACAGACAGACAGACAGACAGACAGACAGACAGACAGACAGACAGACAGACAGAGTTACTTTCGCATTTATAATATTAGTTGGGATTAGTTGGGATGTAGGTATACAGGGTGTTAGGTAAATGGGTATATGAGCCGGCACTAGCCCATGTTAACATGGTCATATAAATGGTATGGTGAAGTCAGAAAATTGATATCTTCATTTTAATTAATTTAATTTTCATACAAATCGGATTTTATAAAATTTATTTTGTATGAAAATTAAAAAAAATAAAATCATGATATCAAATTTCATGGGACATGGGCTAGTGTCGGCTCATATACCCATTTACCTAACACCCTGTATATTTTTTATTAATATAAATAAACTAAATAAAGTCACGAAGTCAGAAATTGTGTTCCCCAAATCCCCACATTTCCCTGCATTATTGACTGGACTAACAATAGAGTTTGGAATATAAATATTGTTAACACAAGAGCGGTAGTGCTTATGCTTGAAATATAATATTTTATATTTTTGTAATTACTTTTGCAAACAAAATTACCTTATTTTGTAAGTGTGATCATTTTCTTAGCTATATGTATCCGCCAATGTTAAGAAGAGGTAAAAGTAAATAAGAATGAAACGTAAGCATTTAGTGTGAAAGTAATTTAATTACAGAAAAATATTATTAATAAGTTATAATACATTAAAATATTTAAAAGTAAAGCTTTTGTATTTTGAGTGTTTAATTTAAAATTATTATTGTTATCATCAAGTTATATTGCCGGTTTATTTCCTATAAGTTAAACCATTGGTGAACAGATTTAGTTCAGTGGTTCAGGGAGCACGATAGCTTCAGGGACAACGCCGGGCAGAACAGGTTCTGGTAGAACTACAGACTCGGGAACTACAGGGATAACAGGGCTTGGGAGAAGGATTGATTCAGGGATGGCAATAGGAAGCTGAGGAGTGGGGAGAATGATGAGTCCAGGGGTGGCAATAGGGCTCTCAGGTAAGACAGGAGAAACTGGGACAGGTAATACGATTGGGTCGGGGATCACGGGGCTCTCAGGTACGATGGGAGAAACTGGGGCAGGTAATACGATGGGGTCGGGGATCACGGGGCTCTCAGGTACGATGGGAGAAACTGGGGCAGGTAGTACGATGGGGTCGGGGATCACGGGGTTTTCAGGTAAGATGGGAGAAACTGGGGCAGGTAATACGATGGGGTCGGGGATCACAGGGCTCTCGGGCAAGACAGGAAGAACTGGAGCAGGTAACACAATGGGATCGGGGATCACGGGGTTCTCAGGCAAGACAGGAAGAACTGGGGTAGGTAACACGATGAGGTCTGGGATCACAGGGCTCTCAGGCAACACAGGGGTAGGCATGACGATTGGACCGGGAACCACTGGTGCCACTTCAGATTCAATTGGCTTGTCAATAGATACGGCGTCCACTCCAGATCCTTCTAGGTTGACAATGATCTGCACTACCGGCAGTGGGTTGGCGGCAGCGACGGCCAAAACGGCAACCAAAGCTACGAAGAATTTCATTTTGGATCTGCAAAGAAACGTTGGGTTAAGATTTACAGAGTAAAATTATACGAGTCCTATTTCAATTCTACATTTCTAAAAAAAATTATTTTATTATGGGCGCAGTATAGCGCGGTATTTATTGATTACTTAATCTAGTTACAATATATTTGGTGCGCAATTCAAACTCACCTATATTACTTGAAAGCTCTTCAAAAATAATATATTTTTTTCTAATTTACACTCGGTTTTTATTGAAGTCATTAGAATAGTTATCAATTAATTATCTGATTATTTGGCACGTTCCACATGCTTGGGATTAATATTAATACAACCAGAATTATTAGATTTGATAGTATCTTCCCTGCAAATAACGTGATCTGCAATTTTTTTTTGCCATGTCGGTACATTTAAATGATAGTAATTAGGAAGATGCTTGTAACTCGCATAACGCGAAAATTAAAACAAGAATCTATAATAAACAAAGCTCATTACCTCATTCATTATTATAAACATAAACGTCTCCGTTACTGTGATAGTATAAGTAATTAAGTAGAAGAGAAACAATTATTATACGCGAAGAGAGAAACGATCGTGCACCTTAGTGATTAATGAACGGTGTAAAAGCATGGTGTACACTAGTTCTAGAAACTGTAATCTTACTGGATTACCTAGTTTCGACTACCCACGCCGTGGAAAAGTCGGAAAAGCCCGCGAGCCGGCGACATCACATCCGCAGGTCCGTTGACCACAAGCCGCCGATACAGCAATTAAAATAACGATATTCTAATTAGTATATCTTGAAATACAACTGAATTAATTTTTTGCAGTTTTATAAAAAGTTATGTTGAACTTTTTTGTGCAATTTATTGGTAGGTACATGTAGTCTCTACCTAGTAAAACTGCAAAAAATGAGTGTATCAAATCAAAACCCAATAGGGTAAATTAGAGAGGACCGTGCCAAGCCTAGCTAGCCGGTGTAATCAAGAAAAAGGTTCTGAAGTAATGTAAGACAGTAAAACAGAAGCCAAAACTTCCCGTTTTATAACTCAGCGTAAATATTTTATCTTAAATTCTGCTGCGGCGCGAACCTAATGACATCCCTTATTGATAAAAATCTCATATATCCGTTGAATACAAACAGCAACCGCTCCCTAGGCGATGGAAAGCCCTGCGCGGGCGCCGCGTGGTTGCCGCGTCTCCTCCCGTGGAAACTGTGCCACGACGCACACCTACTCTCAGTAAAAGTACTTTCTTCTGCCCGCTTTCCGAAACCCGTCTAGAACGAATTTCCTTGCTGTAGTAACCTTGTACTATGTGACATAAGGCGTTTGACTGTGCCTGCACTATAATTAGACTCGGTCGGCGTTTTACTGCTGTACCGAGAACTCAATCTATATAGACTCGACTAGTGTATAGATTGTAGCAACACCCCGTGAGAAATGCCAGCACTCTCTAGATATTAATATACCTATGTCAGCCGATTAGAATACAATAGGTTGTTAACAGATAGGTATTGTTCGGAAAATGATAACCGAGAAGTTCATAGTGCCTTTTTGTTATTGTTACAGTGATTGTTAGGAAGCTTTACGAGTAGATGGGTTCATAGTGATTTTATGTTTTAGAAATACAAGTATGTATACTTATTTGGGCTAGCTTAAACACTAATAGAAATACTTAAAAAGCTTTAGCTGGAAAACACTTTTTTTGTCTTAAACGTTTTTAGCATTTTCAACCCCAGTTCGAAGCAAATTTGTTTTGGATTCAATCGGAAGCAATTACAATCATCTGATAAGATGTCGATAAGTATCGTACAGCCACCGATAAAAATGTGTTATTTTTATTTGAGAATAAGAAAGTTTCGATTCGTAGATGACCTTTTATCTATAGACTAAAACAGTTTTACGCGAAGCTTTTTTTGTCTAGCTCAGAACATTCAGACATTTGCGAATAGGCGTCGTTACCTACTAACATAGGCATCTAAGTTTAAGCGGTCTAGCGTTTCTCTTCAAAGCTATACATTGTCTTGAAACGGGCAAAAGGGAGGACGTATTTAGGTCACCGCTGGGGACCGCAAAGAAGACGGGCAAAGTCCCGCCGGCAAAAGTAAAACTATTTCAGTGGCTACCTATAATAAACTTCATTTCGTTTGTTTTGGTTGTCTGAGTAGCTTACAATAAATCTTTAAATTAAATTAAAAACAAAATGCTGATTCTGATGCCAGAATATCAGTCCAATAGATCCGATAAATCTTTAAACGTCCGTTTTTGAGTTTCCAATTTTAGCGTAACCGTAATATTAATCTAAATTAATTGAATTTGTGTTACTTTATTTATTATACGTGTGAACCATCAATCGACAGATGCGGAAACGTTGCGCGAGAGCATTCCTAGGTCTTGCATTTCGGTCGCTTGCGCCGTCGCACTATGTGACGAAAGGCCGATCTAGATGGACAATATTATTTGACAATATTAATTAGCTTTAAAGGCGGTATCTATTGATGATTTGACTATATATAGCAAAAACAGTCATAATTGCATTCAGTTTTGGTACATTTAACGCTATAATACTTAAACCAGTATACGTTGATACACGGTTATAAAGAATTACTACCTGATAGGAGGTCAGCTTAAAATGGGCATGTTTCTAAGAAGAAAAACAAAGCTGAATTCTTTATGGCAATTGAAAATAAATAAAAAGGATGAGTGAATAAAAATATAGAATGCCATGCCAGCCACTTTCCAGCCAATTTTTACAACAAATTCGGGAAATGTTCATTTCAATAATTCATAACTCCTCTGTTACCTCGTAAGTTTCGTATTTTATCGAAATATTCATTCCGCTTATTTTTTTCATTTTTGGGATATTTTATCCATTGTTCGTAGAACTCCCTTCGGGATATAAATATTACGTATTCTGAAAAAAAAAAAGAACGAAAAAAAAATTTTGGCATCAGCTTTACTAAAAAAAAATGACAAGGTTCCGCACCAGCCCGCACTTTCTAATTTACTTTGATCAATAGAATATGAATGAGACTACAACATATATAAGTTGCAGCCATGGTACAACAAAGTACATGTAGTTTCTGGTCCAACAAACACAAAGTTCGCATTAAAAATGTAATATCCATCACATTCGACAGCTATGTTTTCGGCAACTGTAAAGTTATTTGCAATGTGAATGAATAAAAATGGTAGTTCTTACCATCAACCTCACGATCCATCACTAACTTTAGCACAATTAATTTTATAAACACTTTAAAATAGCGACAGACCAAATGCAGAAAAGTGAATGATTTCTTCATGAATTCCACCCGTAATGACACTTCAAAAATATTTATTAATTTATTGGAGGGTACTTGCACAAAATTATCACCAGAATTGTGACCTCCAGATTGTCGGCTATCGATCTTGCTAGTATTATTGGAGATTTGAGTTAACCCTTTTTGTCCATCTAGATCGGCCTTTCGTCACATAGTGCGTCGTGATCTATCACGCGGAAATCCAAACATGTCACGAACTTCCCGACAAAGGTTCGTGTTTTACATGGCCAACAGTCACCAATATATTCACATCAAATCTAATCAAAAAGTCACCCCGTAATCGAAATAGATCCTGATGATAAGTGCGGACTCCGTAGGTGGGAAAACTTCGTTTTTTCAAAACAATCGCCAAAAATATTATTGGTATTAAAACATGGTCACTGAATGAAATATGTTTGTTTTTAACTATCTTAAATCAATTTTAAGGTATTAACTAAGAAGTAAGTAAGTAAGATTTTGAGTTTTACTTAGTTTTGTTGCGTTGCGCTGTTATAGGTGTCTTTAAAACTCTACATTTTTTTAAATATTATTAGCAATTTGTGTTGCCCAAATTACTAATAGTCCCGTTAGCCCCTCGTGGTAAACTAAATAAGCTTGTGTTACGAGTGGGCTCACCACAATAGCCGAGCGGCGGTGGGATTCGAACCCGCGTTCCTCGGATCTCGAGTCGGCCACTCCGAGTTTTTGACATTAAAACATAACTAAAAAGTAAACAATACAATGTAAAAGGGACCGGAAAATCGACAAGGATAAAAACATATTACGTAGGTATGTAATCAATAGATTGTTACTGCAATATTTTTTACTGTCATCCATTAGAGAGATTAGCATTATCAGTATCAAAGCGGTATAATTTTATGAAACGTGTAGTGTTAAAAGTGGCAATAGAGATTGTTAATCCCATTTATCTACTTTGATAACCGAATGAAAAAAGTTTGGTAGCGTTTTGCTACCTGTACCTACCTACTTAAAGTGTAAATCAGCCTTAACTTACGATGATGTAAAATCAGTGAAAACGCTTATTAGAAAAGTTTTCTGCCTCTTCATTCACTTAAATATCGATATGAATAATATTTTTACCTTTAATTAATTTAGCTGGCTTAATGTGCCAACAATGTAGAAACCGATATTAATGGCTTACCTAAATTAAACAAAAAAATACCGAACTAAGTAGTAGATGATAGTTTTATTTTTATCTCGACTGCTTAATAAGGTTTGATACTTTGCTAGCCCTAGGAATGACGAGGCAATAAAACGTTTTAAAGCACGAATGTACCATACTCTACTCGTTACTTAATATTTCATCATTACATTTAAATCATAGACATAGATCTATGCTTGAATCGAAATCAAGCTTCGAGCTTCCATAATACGTCTTTAAAATTTCAGTCTTATTAGTCTTTTAAAACTCTTTTTGAAAATAAATCCTTAAAGTTCCGTTAGTCGAATGCCGTAAAATCTTTTGGGAATTTGGTGTTTTTTATGTGTCTGGACTTGGACAAAGAGTCGTTTAACAGTCTCGGGTAGGGTTGGCAGGCATTCGGACAAAGATGGGCCTTGATCAGGTCACCTAGAAAACAAACTCCGGGTAGAGCGAAAATATTGTTTTTAACGGCTCTTAGATTTTACAAATAAATATTTTACGTTTCTACGCGAATGTCCAGTATTCTAAACTATATGACCAATCCGGATCCACGAGTTAAGGAATTGTCAACCCTGTCTCAGTAGTCAGGACTCTCAGGGGTAATAAAATATATGCCTTTATTTTTGGACCCGTCTCTCGACTTGAAGCGCACGCGCACGTGTCAAAATAGGTCAAGCAATATCCCAAAAGTTCATTATTCCAGCCACTTCCGTGTCCCACGCGGCTGACTTCAGCTTAATTAAAA